CTACCACGTCCATCCTAGACCCCTGCCCATCCTGGCTTCTGAAAGAGGCCAGAGGGGGATTGGCTGAGTGGGTAACGGTGGTGGTTAATGCCTCCCTCCGGGAAGGCACGATTCCAGCGAGCCTAAAACAGGCTATTATAAAGCCGCTGTTGAAGAAACCATCACTGGATCCCACTAAATTTGACAACTTTCGGCCTGTTTCCAATCTTCCCTTTTTGGGCAAAGTCATGGAAAGCGTGGTGGCCTCACAACTCCAGGTATTCTTGAGAGACACGGATTATCTGGATCCGGCACAGTCTGGTTTCAGACCGGGACATGGAACCGAGACGGTCTTGGTCGCCTTAGTGGATGATCTGCGCCGGGAGCTAGACAGGGGGAGTGTGTTCCTGTTGGTGCTCCTGGACCTCTCAGCGGCCTTCGATACCGTCGACCACGGTATTCTTCTGGGGACGCCTTGCAGAGATGGGTCTTGGGGGCACTGCTTTGCAGTGGCTCCAGTCATTTCTGGAGGGTCGTACCCAGAAGGTGTTATTGGGGGACTCCTGTTCAACTCCACAGCCTTTGACTTGTGGGGTTCCTCAGGGCTCTATACTGTCCCCCATGCTGTTTAACATCTACATGAAGCCGCTGGGTGAGATCATCCGGAGTTTCGGGGTGCGGTGTCACCTGTACGCAGATGACGTCCAACTCTGTCACTCCTTCCACCTGCTACTAAGGAGGCTGTCGAAGTCCTGAACCGGTGCCTGGCCGCTGTGACGGTCTGGATGAGGGCGAACAAACTGAAATTAAATCCAGACAAGACAGAGGTACTCCTGGTCAGTCGCAAGGCCGAACAGGGTATAGGGTTACAGCCTGTGCTGGACGGGGTCGCACTCCCCTTGAAGGCGCAGGTTCGCCGCTTGGGTGTGACCCTGGATTCATCTTTGAGCCTGGATCCCCAGGTTTCAGGTGACCAGGGGAGCATTTGCACAGCTTAGGCTCGTGCGCCAGCTGCGCCCGTACCTTGGGAAGTCTGACTTGGCCACGGTGGTACACGCTTTGGTCACATCCCGCCTCGACTACTGCAACGCTCTCTACGTGGGGCTGCCCTTGAAGACGGCCCGGAAGCTCCAGCTAGTCCAGCGCGCGGCAGCCATGTTGTTAACCGGAGCGGGACGCAGGGAGCGCACAACGCCCTTGCTGTCCCAGCTCCACTGGCTGCCGATTAGCTACCGGGCCCAATTCAAGGTGCTGGTGCTAACCTACAAAGCCCTAAACGGTTCCGGCCCAAAATACCTTGAGTACCGCATCTCGGCCTATCAGCCCACGAGGACCTTGAGATCATCCGGGGAGGCCCTTCTCTCGGTCCCGCCTGCCTCACAGGCACGCTTGGCGGGGACCAGGGAGCGGGCCTTCTCGGTGGTGGCCCCCCGGCTGTGGAACTCCCTCCCTGCTGAAATTAGACAGGCGCCCTCCCTCATGGCCTTCCGTAAGGGCCTGAAGACCTGGCTCTTCGAAAAGGCCTTCGATTAAGTGCTATGTTTTGGAATGACCACCGGAATGGACTAAGACGACGAGACTGATTATGACCCAAACTAGACGAAGCGGATTTTTAGTTTAATTAGCTGTGTGTTAGTAAGATGTGTGTTGATCCTGATTTACTGTAACTGTTGTTTTCATGTTCTGTGTTCTGTACACCGCCACGAGTCGCCTTCGGGCTGAGAGTGGCGGTTAACAAATGCAAAAAATAAATAATAAATAAATAAATAGCGGGGTACAAATAAAGTTATAATAATAATAATAATATAACCCACAATATCTGCTTTGAACTGGGCTATCTGAGTCCGCACTGCCATATATTCCAAGTCAAAGCAAATAATGTGGAAATATATTCAACTGTGTAGAAGAGGCCCCAGGCAGCAGATAATCTACAATATCTGCTTTGAACTGGATTATCTGAGTCTACACTGCCATATAATCAATTTCAAAGCAAATAATCTGGATTTTAAATGGCAGTGTAAAAGGGGCTTCCGATGCTATCTGAACAAAAAGCAGATAGCAATTTAATAACTCAATTTAGCAAAACAATTAACATATTGTCGAAAGCTTTCATGGCCGGAATCATTGGGTTGTTCTGTTTTTTGGGCTATATGGCCATGTTCCAGAAGCATTCTCTCCTGACGTTTCCAACAGGCCTCACAACCTCTGAGGATGCCTGCCATAGATGCAGTCGAAATGTCAGGAGAGAATGCTTCTGGAACATGGCTATACAGCCCAAAAACAAACACAACAACCCAAAGCAATTAACAATTGTTATTATCTTAGCCTCTTTCTCTTCACTGTGGGTAATGCTCACAGTTGGGTACAAAATTGCCCTTTTCTGTTCTTAATTGAACATGTTTGAAGATTTAAGACCTGTGGCTTATCATCCTTTCCAAACTAACTGTTCTGGTGGACAATGCCTGTTAAGGGGAGCCACTAGTTAAGGGGAGCCACTAGTTAAGGGGAGCCACTAATTGAAATACCCCAGAAAAAAATCTTATGAATTGGCCATTTATTCTTTCAAATAGTCACAGTACAAATATTATATTTCCTAATTGGTTATATGACATTGTTGTAGTTGAATTCCAATTTATTGCATTGCACGTTGCCATATGTTTGTGTCTCTTTCATCTTTTATTGTTTTATGCAAGTATCTCCCGTATCCCACCTGCCAGGTAAATATATAGAGATAATTTCCTGAAAAATGGTAATGAAAGGTAATCATTAAAGTCCTGTGCTTTCATGCCTTTTTTCACTGGAACAAAGGCAAGATTTGCCTCCAAGTGCTCTGTGATGGTGGGGTGTTTTTTTAAAAAAAATTTGAAACAAGTGCAATGAGTTTCAGGCTATGTATAAATGTCAAAGACCTTCTTAGATCCACCTGCTCAATTTGTGGGTATTTTAAACCGTTGCACCACAAAGCCCATTCCTGATTAATAAAATAACACCTCTGAGGTAGGAAGGGAGATTTGCTTGTTACTTATGAATGTGAAATTTCTTAACACCGATATATAAAAACAGGCTTTGAGCACCACACAAACAGACAGAAACTTCTCCATGGACAACTTTGAAAGGGAAATATTTTGTATGAAAGTGAGTTCAAAAGAGGATTTGGGGTCAGATTTGTAGATGATCATGAGGGAGATGTAGTTTTAAGCAGAATTTTCATGGGTGCTTTCAATGTTCGAAAGCCCCATGTGTCCTGATTTTGGAGAGGCCTTTGTTTGCAAAATCGCTGATGTTTAGAAAAAGCTGCCACATCACTCTCAAGGATAGATTCATCAAAGCAGAACTGGCTAAACTAACATTCCCTAATTTCCCTCAGCCACCTGAAATCCATACTTGAGACAGAAAAGTAGGTAAGACCGACCATCAGGGTCAGAGGCATGAAAGCATAATCTATCTTAGTTAACTTAGATCAATAGAGCAATTGATTACTGTACACCAATGAGAATGTGCTTTTAACTTTCTGTAAAAGTGATAAAAACCCTTGCAACCGAACTTTGGGGCGGCAAAACCTTTGTGTGCACTGCTATATGCATTTTTGTTGCTATTGCTTGGCCTGCAATAAATAGCTTCTGCAGTTGGAATTCAACTTGGGAGCATACAACTCCTCTGTTGCACCAGCTTCAGTGGTTGCCAGTTTGCTACCAGGCACAAAGTGTTGGCTTTGGCCTATAAAGCCCTAAACGGTTCCAGCCCAGCTTATCTGTCCGAACGTATCTCTTCTTATGAACCATCTAGGAATTTAAGATCAGCTGGGGAGACCCTGCTCTCGATCCCGCCTTCCTCACAAGTGTGCCTGGTAGGGACGAAAGGCAGGGCCTTTTCAGTGGTGGCCCCTTGGCTGTGTAACTCCCTCCTTAGGGATATTAGCTTGGCCCCCTCCCTCCTGAAAAAAGAGTAAAAACTTGGCTTTTTGAACAAGCATTTGGAAGTGCAGCGGAATAGGTAATTATGAAATAGGAAGAATGAACATGGAATGGCTGGACGATGCTGCTGGATAATGATTTTAACAGGATGACATAAGTGATTATATGTTATTAAATGGTTTATATATGCTTTTTAATGTTTTTAACTATATTATTATGAATGTATGGCACTAAAATTGCTATTTCTGTGAGCTGCCTTGAGTCGCCACAAGGCTGAGAAAGGCAGGCTACAAATGCCGTAAATAAATAAACTTGTAGCATTCCTTCCTTTACATCGCCCTCTCAAGCAGAGGGGACTCTTGACTTCATGCAGAGTGAGCCATTCCCCTACAATCATAGAATAATAGAGTTGGAAGAGACCACATCCAGTCCAACCCCCTGCCATGCAGGAAAAGCACAAAGTATCCCTGGCAGATGGCCAGCTTCCAAGGAAGGAGCTTCCACCACACTCTGAGGCAGAGAGTTCCACTGTTGGACAGCTTGTGGTCAGGAAGTTCTTCCTCATGCTCAGGTGGAATCTCCTTTCCTGTAATTTGAGCCTATTTTGCTTTGAGTCCTAGTCTCCAGGGCAGCAGAAAAGACGCCTGCTCCCGCTTCCTTGTGACACCCTTGGTGGTGATGTTTACACTGGAAGAATGGCAGCAAATGATGTCATGGATAAACTCCAGGGTCATCCATCTACAACCCAAGGAAGCAGAGAGAAGGCTCAAGACTTTTTAAAACTGGTATGGGCAAACGTGGTCCCTCCAGGTGTTTTGGACTTCAACTCCCACCATTCCTAACAGCCGGTAGGCTGTTAGGAATGGTGGGAGTTGAAGTCCAAAACACCTGGAGGGACCACGTTTGCCCTTACTTGTTGCCAAACTACAGCCTTGCTGATTATATGGCATTGAGCCTGGGCAGTCAAAGTGGTGCCCAACTGCATTCATTCATTCTGCAGCGCAGATGCGCCCTTGGGCTCTGCAGGCGAGTTCCTTCCTTCCTTCCTTCCTCCTTCCTGGGGGGCGGCTCCTTTGGGTGAAGGGGGCGAGTCCTCTGCCAGCCAGCCCCGCCTGCCTCCAGACGCGGAAGTGAAGACGGGCGGACGGGCGGCAGGACCAGAGCAGGCGCAGGGAAGAAGAGGGGCCGCAGCATGGCGCCGGCGGGGCTCAAGGCCGTCGTGGGAGAGAGTGAGTACGGCGGCGGGCAGGGAGGGAGGGAGGGAGAAAGGCAGGGAAGGGGGCGCCTCCCGCTAGCCACTCTCCGAGGCTTAGCCCAGGCAGCAATCCGCCTGCCAGGCAACGGGAAGAACTGCATTTAAGGCCACTCTCTCCGCGTCTCCCCTCTTTCCCTCTTGGTACGGTCCTTCAAGAAGGGCGGGGGGGAGGCAACACGGCAGGTTTCTTGACCCACCGCCACAGGGGGCTCCCTGATAGGAGCAGAGCTGGAGAAGGGGCGGGGCCAACAAGAGGCCCCGCCCCTTCTTCGCCTCAAGTTAGCCTTCCAGATAAGGAAGGAGCTGGGCTGTGTGTGTGTGTGTGTGTGTGTGTGTGTGTGTGTGTGTGTGTGTGTGTGTGTGTGTGTGTGTGTGTGTGTGTGTGTGTGTGTGTGTGTGTGTGTGTGTGTGTGTGTGTGTGTTGGCGTACATACACACCACACACTCATAGGGCATCACCACAATACACACAACACATTCATAGGGCATCACCACAAATGTATTCCCTCCCTACATAGCGTGTGTGTAGAGCAGGGGTCCACAAACTTTTTAAACAGAGGGCCAGGTCACAGTCCCCCAAACTGTTGGAGGGCCGGATTTGAAACAAAAATGAATGATTCCTATGCACACTGCACATATCTTATATGTAGTGCGAAAAACACTTTAAAACAATACAATAATTAAAATGAAGAACAATTTTAACAAATACAAATTTATTAGTGTGAGCCTGCTTTTGGCTGATGAGATAGGTCTGTTGTTGTTGTTGTTGTTGTTGTTGTGGTGTGCTTTCAAGTCATTCCAGACTTAGGTTGACCCTGAGCGAGGGCCGGGTAAATGACCTTGGAGGGCTGTATCTGGCCCCCCCAGCCTTAGTTTGAGGACCTCTGGTGTAGAGTCTCGCTTATCCAAAGTAAACAGGCTGGCAGAACGTTGGATAAGTGAAAATGTTGGATAATAAAACAGTGGTTCTCAACCTGTGGGTCCCCAGTGTTTTGGCCTACAACTCCCAGAAATCCCAGCCACTTTACCAGCTGTTAGGATTTCTGGGAGTTGAAGGCCAAAACATCTAAGGACACACAGATTGAGAGCTATTGGAAGAAAGGGAAGGTTTATTGAACGTCAAATTACATTATGATTTCACAAGTTATGCACCGAAACACCATGTTTTACAACAAATCTACAGAAAAAGCAGTTCAGTACACGGTAACATTATGTAGTAATTATTATATTTATTAATTTAGCACCAAAACATTGCTAAATTTGTAATTTTGTAATTTTAATCAATATGTATTTTAACTCGTTATTATATGGTATTTTTAGATTGTACTGTTAGCGTTGAATCCTTGCTGTAAGCTGGTCTGAGTCCCTCTACGGAGGTTGAGAAGATCGGGATATAAAAGTTTTTAAAAAACAAACAAACAAATAAATAAATAGAAACAGCTGTGGATCTAGACAGAAGGCAGACTACGTTAAATTATACAGAATGTTGGATGAGCGAAGGTTGGATAAGCAAGACTGTATGTGTATTATACACACACACACACATATACATACACTCATACACACCAATATAGATATATACATATACCTGAACACATCTGAATAGCTAATAGTATATACTATAGTTTTTCTAACTGTGCTCCTCCAGATGTTTTGGATTTCAGCTCCCACCATTCCTAACAGCTGGTATGGAGGGGCTATGTTATTGTTGATTTTACCGGTATTGAATTGTACCGGAGTTGTAAACCGCTTTGAGTATCCTGAGGGGGAGAAAGCGGGGTATAAATGAAGTAAATAAATAAATAAGCTGGCTTGGATTTCTAGGAGTTGAAGTCCAAAACACATGGAGGAGCATAGCTTGAGAAACACTGCTATATACATCACGTACACGCACCACTAATATATATAATTATACACATACATACATATACTTCACTCACAGTGGATCTCCAAAAATGTATACATCCTTAAAATGTTAATAGATACACACACATCTATCTGTATGTATGTATGTATAGTAGTATACACACACACACACTTCATAGGGGATATCCAAACTTGTATATACCCTTAAACAGCTAATAATATATAGATAGATGTACCGTAGATACATACACACAAACCACTAAGATATATACTTACATATACTCATACAGATACATATCCGTGAACACACATGCACAGTACACACAAACACCACTCACAGGAGATCTCTAAAAATATGTACACACTTAGACAGCTAATGGCATATGCACATGCACAATACTAATATGTATATGAGTATTAATGCACATGCTCACTGTACTAATAGGGGTCTCCAAAATGTATACTCCATTAAACAGCTAATGCTATATACCAGTGGTGGCGAACTCATCACGTGCATCCCAGAAGGGGCACAGCTCCCTGCCTTCTGGCACGCGTGTCATCGTCCCCACCCCCAGCACCTCCTTTTTGCCTGCCCGCTCACCTTATAGCTGGTTTTGAATTGTAGTTTGGGCACTCAGTTTCTAAAAGGTTTGCCAGAACTGCTGTATATACACACATGAGAGAAAGAGAGAGAATAGTATATACTCACTCATGCACACACACACGCACTACTCTCACAAGGGATCTCCAAAGAGTATACACCCTTAAAGAGCTAATAGTACCTGTAGTGACTTTGATGGTGAAATATATTTATATTGAATAATGTGTGATGTAATAATGAGTTAATCGGAGTCACAAATTCCACTTTAATTAGTTTTGTATTACATATGTGGATAGTCATCCCTGAACAGTAATGGATTTCTCACTTCATCATTCACAAAGTTCCAAGCTTCATTTGTTTATTTATTTTTGTTATACTTTCCTAATACTTCTCCACTGTTTATTTATTATTTATTACTGCGCTTGTATACCGCCGTTTCTCAGCCTACATTGGCGACTCAACACTGTTCTAATCTTTAATCCTGTACAGACAGTATATATATATTTTAGTGGAGAAAACTGTAAATCCCCTTGAACTGTAAGTTGTTAAGGGTGTATTACATATACACTTTTTGGATACCCTGTGTATGTAATATTTTAAAAGTTGGCCAAATTCTTTATTGTGCATTTTTACAGATGCCGAGTTTTTATGCTGAATTACCTAGGTGGCCATTACTGATATGACGTCCTTCCATTTTTGCTATCACGACTTGTGTGCTTTCTTGGTGTATTTTGTGCATGTTTGGTTGGACCAATCATTGTTTTGTGTGTTTTGGATGTTGTAACTTGTTTTGTTAGCATCCCATTTCCAAGCAATGCTTTGAGAAAGAAGAATCAATACAGGTTCATTGCATAAGCACCATCCTTGTTACCAAAAGCTCCATCCTTGAACAACGTGTCTTGTCACTTCAAAGACTAACACATTTATTTGGGTTTTTGACTTCTTCCTTTTAACATGATGACTTCAAGTTCTCTGCAGAACTATTGTTTTCCTTTTTGATGGTGATGTTTTGAAATTCCAATGTTTCAAAATTTGCCGCGTCATCTATTTTAAATCTTCCTTTTATTTATCATGCCAACCTGTATGATTTACTTTAACCTTTATAACAGTGGTTCTCAATCAGTGTGTCTCCAGGTGTTTTGCCCTACAACTCCCAGAAATCCTAGCCAGTTTACCAGATGTTAGGATTTCTGGGAGTTGAAGGCCTAGAAACAGCCTCCACGTTTTCTCCCTCTGCCAGTTATCAATCACCCTGGTTGCCATAATCTTGGTTTTTTATGTTTAACAGCAACCCAGCTTTTGTACTTTCTTCTTTCACCTTGGTTATAAGACTCGTCAGCCCCTTCTCGCTGTCAGTGGTATCATCTAAAATCATACCTGAGGTCACATAAAGCTTCATTTTTTGCTTGTCTTTGTCCCAAAGTTAGGCAAGGTTGGCGATACACAACTAGTTAGCTGATAATGTTAATGTTATATAAACCTGTCAGAATAAACTGATTTTGAAACAAATTAATGTGAGTTTTTCCGACGAAAGAAAGCTAACATGAACTTTCAGTTGGTAGTATCCCTATTGTGCTAAAGTTTCCAAATAAGTCCCTAAGTTAAGGGAGTGGGAGCGGGCCTTGATCCCTAATCATAAAGTATCTCAGGACACTATAAGATGTGTACTGAACAAAATGCATGTGACTCAGATTTGATGCCTAAAGATTTTAGCCTTGTTTTCCCAGTTTTGCTGCTTTCTTTAGGCTTTTGTTGTTACGCCTTTCCCTCAGATCTGCTTGCTGGCGCAGATAAGGATGGGACAGCTAAAACATCTCCACAGATTATGCCACACCATCCCACAGAAAGTTCAACATTCACCACGAATAATATCCTTGCAGACCCAAAAAGCATTGCAGGGACAGGGCGTAGAGGACCTTTTGCTCAGCCTTTGATTCAGGGTCCCCTGTTCTGGGGTGGAGTAAGTCGAGCGAAAGCAATCAACTTGCCAAAGCCAAAACACGTAGCCTTCCACTCCCCACTTTTCCTTCTATGCTGGCCGGCATAAACAGGCTAAACTTTGGAAGGGTTCAAGTTTTCTCATCTTCACATCTCTCCCCTTCATGCCTTACTTTTATTTTTATCTGATTTTTCTCACACATGCATAATGCAATATAATATTGGCCAATATCAGATCTACTACAAACGTTGCAAGTATTTGCATTTTTCCTGTTGTCACTGTCTTTTGCACTAGGCCTGCCTTAACAAAAATGCAATATGTCTGATAAGGAAATGATAATCTACTTGCTGCTGTTGGTTCTGCTTTGGGATCCCTTCAAATTGTGGGATCACTTCTTCAGGCCTGTATGAAACCATTTTTTAAAGCCCAGGGAATTGCTGTCATATTGATGCAAGCTGATGCTTTTAAAATTCTCGCTTGAGAGAGAGGAGGAGACATTCAAGGTGAAGGCACCTACTATTAGGACCACTAGCTATGGTTTTTATTGATAATGTTTTGCAACATTATC